ACTCAATTTTGAATGTGTTTCGCACCGTGACTTTGGTCGGCTCTCATATCCATTCCGACATGGCCTCGACCTGACGAAGGCTGCGCTGAACAATAGTCAATGAACATCATCAGTCTAAAAAGCAAGCCGAGCAGGGCCAGTAACGTTTTGAGAGAAGCATTCAGCTCCCAGCCTTTCACTGGGGTGAGCGGATAGGATAAACGAAATCTAGGATCGGAGATTGCCGATGATGCCAGCAGGGCCTACGGAAGGAGACAGATGAATATGTTTCTTCACTTGGTCAAAGGGGTTACCTGTGCTAAACACAACAGGTAAGCAGAAACCAGAATGATTCCAGAAGCCATTCATTCAGCCTATCAGCGGTGTCCTGGTCCTACACTCCCTGTTGGGACTAGGCTGCTGCGCCGTGCCTGAATATCGCTGCAATTCCTCGGCTGCACGGCTGCTGGCAGAGGACTATATACTTCCCGTGGGCTCCCTGAGAATGCGCAATTAATAGCGAGCTTGCTAGTTTATCACGGGCGCACTATGGCGATGGTCATATGCGTTGACACATTCTGAGCTTCACGGGGCTATTTCTCAACCGTGCGTTCTACGGACTGTCAGTTATTGGCCCGTATCGCCGTATCGCCGTGTCTCGGTACTTGCATCTCCTTCTCCTTCCTTTTGTGGGGTTCATTTGGGTAGGATTTACTTTTGCAGTCAGATCAATGTCGAGGACCTTACGGAGTACAGTGATGCCCAACTGACGAGACCCACCAACCTTGCTTAAGGATCTTGGCTCTCACAAGAAAATAATTGGAGAAGTGGACCTGGTGGGATCGTTCCCGGAACGAATCTCAAAGCTACTGCCTCAGTGGTCCGAAGTGCATATTGAATCCATCGTTTCGGGCTTCCCCTTTCGATGGGACTACTGCCAGGTATCATCCTTGGCCCTCCCGCTTGAACCCAGCTGCTGATCATCTCCAAATATTTCAAGCCGTCTCGAATCCACACTGATATTACAATGGCTTCCGCTGGATGACCCATCGTTATCGCACATATGTGGAATTGACTCCACATAGATACTGTCTAATATCTCAGCAGATAGGCAGATATGCAGCTTTACCATTACTATTATGTCCGTCTACGTGAAGCACGTCAAATCTCGAACTTGACCCAAGTTGTGCTAGAGCCACATTCTAAACGCTAATTGTTGATTCTTATCGGCCACGCATGGACTTGCCGTTTTGGGTCAGCCGTCGCCACAGATGAACTTTGCTGATATGCTATTGATTTTTATATATGAAGATAATGCGAGCTATTCATTTCTGTTGAAATCAACATGTTGGATTTTGGAGAGATGTCCTTGAAGAGAATCTGTCTACGGTTGGACCTCCGGGAGCTATGAAACATGCAATTTATGGTATCTGCGAACCATATTCAAGATAACTACGATATACTCCATACAATCAAATATAAATTCAACGCCAATTATACCCCATTTCTTATCAGTGGAGGTATGTGTGGAGGTATGAGGCTAAGGCGGCCCACTGAAGGGAGGTCCTCCCGAGGGCGATTCCCCCGCAAAATCAAAATAAATTCAGCAGGGCAGATCGTTTCTATTATCAACATCTCAACAGTCTATGACCAATCGCCTTGATTTAACCCAAACTCAGTATTATGCGTCATTGGATACTTGCAATTGGGTTCGAGCTTTATCTGAACCCCTCACAACTTGAACAGGATAATCCGTGAGGGGTTTATCAACGCGGACCGAACGCGCTAGACGCCATATCTAAGATCGTATATAATTATCCCTTTCCCCCCCCCTATTCATGTCGCTTGTTGATTTTCAGTCCGAAAATGGGCGTATCTCCCTCCTACCTGTCCACTGAGTTGATCGACGCCTCCGGCTGAATTACCACAGCATGGATTTGGAGTCCAGTTCGCTACCCCTTAAGCCACCACTGACGGATCAAAATGTGCAAGATGTGCAGGATGCGCAGGATCTCGCTGCCTTGGGCCATTCCCAGGCCCTGACGCGAAAATTCGATATGTGGAGTATGCTGGCGCTCGCCTTTTGTGTACTTGGTATGTTCGCGCTTTTTGCCACCCGATGGAACCCGAAAGTGTGCTAACGTGTCCAAGGTACCTACTCTACATTCGCACAGGATCTCAGCAGTGGTTTGACGAATGGCGGTGCTATCACTATCCTCTGGGGTTTGGTGCTTGTCACAATGTGCAACCTCTGTGTTGCCCTCTCGCTGGGCGAGTTGACTAGCAGTATGCCTACCGCCCTTGGTCAGGCCTACTGGGTATATCGACTGTGGAATACACCTCTGGGTCGATTCGTCTCATACATGTGTGCCTGGATCAATACATTTGGATGGTGGACCTTGACCGCGTCCCAAGTTGCCTTCATGACTGAATTCCTGCTAGGCATGAAGACTATGTTTGATCCTGAGTGGGATGGAGTCAACAAGGGCTGGCTCAAATTTGTTGTATATATTGGGTTGGTCTGCGTACTGACCATAATCAACATGGTCAGCTGCCGTAAGGAGAAGATCCTACCCTGGATTAACAATTTTGTTGGAGTGTGGTTCTTCGGCCTGTTTATTGTTCTCTCTCTTGTTCTACTTATTTCGGTCGGAACCAAGAGTGAACTGTCATTCCAGCCCGCCTCGTTCGCGTTTGGTGTTTGGAAAAATGAGACTGGCTGGGGCGATGGTGTGGTTTGGTTCACGGGGTTGGTACAGGCAGCGTACGGGTTGACCGCGTTCGATTCGGTAATTCATATGGTGGAGGAAATCCCTGCGCCCCGAAAGAATGCTCCCCGAGTTATCTGGATGGCTGTTTTGTTCGGCGCCGTGACTGGATTCATCTTCATGGTGGTCTGCCTGTTCTGCATCCAGAATGTGGACCGCGTCGTCAACGCCGACCTCCCCTTCATGGAGCTTATGGTCGAGACTGTTGGCCTGAAAGGGGCCGCTGTGCTGATTGCACTGTTTATTTTCAACGGTGTGGGCCAGGGCATCAGTATCCTCACCACTGCCTCCCGTTTAACCTGGGGCTTTGCCCGTGACGGCGGCCTGCCTTTCAGCAAGTACTTCAGCCACGTCGATCCTGTGTGGCAAGTCCCTATCCGTGCTCTCTGGGGCCAAGGAATCGTCATCGGCATCGTCGGCATCCTATATCTATTTGCCAGCACCGTGCTTGAGGCGATTCTCAGCGTCAGCACTATCGCCCTGACGGTCTCCTACGCCATGCCAATTCTTGCCTTGATCATTACCGGCCGTGAAAAATTACCCGCGGGGCCATTCAAACTCGGTCGAATTGGTCCTTGGTTGAATTGGATCAGCATCTTCTACTGCATTATCACGACCATTTTCTTTCTGTTCCCTGGTGGCCCCAATCCGGCGCCCAGCGATATGAACTTCGCCATAGCCGTTTTTGGTGTTATGTTGGTCATCGCTGTCGCATTCTGGTTCATCAAAGGCAGCCGAACCTATCTCCAGACTGAAGATGCCGTCGCCTCAATGGTCTACGCCCATCATCTGGAAATGAATCAGCTAGGTGTCGAAGACCCTGTTCTAGCCGTTCAACCTCCGGTCATCGTTGATTACAAATGATATGACGTGCTTTTATCTATGGAAGGTATGACTATTTTTGGAATGTAGGACAGACATGTACATAGGACGGAGAGTGGAGTATATATGCAATGCATACTCCAGTTGGAGTTCGTATATTTGGAACCAGTTTGACGTGCTTAGACAGAAACTTCCAGCCTATTGAAGTCGTGGGCTTTAATATGATAGTTAGCAATTCCGATACTAAAATTTTTTTGAATAAAAAAAGTATTAAACAAGTTCGCAACATTGCGTCTAGCATGGACACATAGAAAGTCACGGGATGATAGTACGATACCGGACCGTCGCTGATAGTTTAAACTCCGACAAACTCCTCAAGTCATCCTTTTAATATCGCCTAGACAACACGCAATGACTGCACAGTTCGGATCAACGGGAAATACATAGCATGTTAACCCCTGAATCTCACACGAGCATACGGAGTCTCCGTACGGAGTATTGACAGCCTCCGAGACACTGCACAAAATCGATAGTATTCGGCATGCGACAGTGCTTTAGCGCATTTCAGCGCCACAGAAACTTAGCGTCTATTCCAAGATTGTCTTAATTTTCTATGAGATAGTCCAATTGGCTGCAAGCTGCAACAGTGCATGCCCACCCGAACTTCCCTGCTGGCTAATGTAGCAGTGCATGATCACCATCCCAACCTTCCCCCGAAGAGGCTTGGCAGGGGAATCATGATTTTGATCATTGAACACAGCTTCCAGCTCCCATCGATCAGACCTGATAACAGATGAACTGTGGGCTGTAATTCAGACCAAGAACTGATTTCATTTCTAGGGTCCAGCCATCCAGCCACCCGTCAATACAAACAAGCCCCATGACGCCCCTCACATTGTTTCCTTCAGAGTGGATCTACCCCTGCTGATCACAACGGACCCCCGACGGACGCACTCAACATCACAATGAGATAGTGCACTTATCTCTTTAGCTATACGGAGTGCGTACGGAGGACGGAGCACCGATCGAACCACTAATTTACCGTTCCTCGAGCTTGGAAGGCTGTTGGTCACGATGCGAGTAGCCAGCTGCTGCCAAAGACCGATTTAGAACGGTCTCACCAAACGGGAACCCACCAAGGGTCCACTGGAACAGTGCAATTTATCGCAATGCCAAGGAGATGACGTGAAACTTCGATTCAAGCACTCTGTCCTTGTCAACCTTGTAATATGCTGGACTTCTTCAGCTAAGCATTCTTTATCGCCCCATTCATTCTCCCCACCAATGCAACCATAATAAATACCACTTCACGGTCTTTACCCCTCCTTTGAGTTTACTAGTCTCCTGTCGCACTATTTATACTGCCTGCATCCGCTGCTGGAGGCCCCGACCGGTGTTTAATAGGGTATTCTCATATCACTCCTTCTTATTATGATTGTGTCACTCTTTGACCGCAGAGCATTGTCGCTCGCGGTCTTGTCACTTCTCGCGTCCTCTGCTGCAGCTAATGTATTTGAGAGCTTGTCTGCTGTTCCTCAGGGTGAGTAACTTGCGTTCTAAACCAAACCGACGGAATCGATACGCTGACATACCATAGGATGGAGATATTCTCGCACACCGAGTGCTGATCAGCCCATGAAGCTACAGATTGCTCTGGCACAGGGGGATACTGCCGGGTTTGAAGCGGCTGTGATGGACATGTCAACCCCTGATCACCCTAACTATGGGGACCACTTCAACACCCACGAGGAAATGAAGCGCATGCTGCAGCCCAGCGCCGAGTCCGTAGGCTCGATCCGCGAGTGGCTCGAGGGTGCGGGTATTACTAGGATCGAACAGGATGCAGACTGGTTGACCTTCTACACCACTGTGGAGAAGGCAAATAAGCTGCTGGAAGCCAATTTCCAGTTCTATGTCAACAGTGTTAAGCACATTGAGCGTCTTCGCACACTCAAGTACTCCGTCCCCAAGGCTTTGGAGTCACACATCAACATGATTCAGCCAACCACCCGTTTCGGCCAGCTGCGCGCCAACCGGGCCGTCCTGCACACCCAGGTCAAGGAAACTGACGCAGCTTTCCGCACTAACGCCATGTCCGCTTCCCCGGACTGCAACAGCGTCATCACTCCCCAGTGCCTCAAGGACATGTACAACATTGGCGACTACAAGGCCAGTGATACCAACGGGAACAAGGTTGGGTTTGCCAGCTACTTGGAGGAGTATGCACGATACGCTGATCTAGAGCTGTTTGAGAAAAACGTTGCACCCTTTGCCAAGGGACAGAACTTCAGCGTCGTCCAGTATAATGGCGGCGGTAATGATCAACACTCTCCCGCCGAGAGCAGCGAGGCGAACCTCGACTTGCAGTACATTGTTGGAGTCAGCTCTCCTGTTCCTGTTACCGAGTTCAGTGTTGGTGGCCGTGGTGAACTTGTTCCCGATCTCGACCAGCCTGATCCCAACAATAACAACAACGAGCCGTACCTTGAATTCCTTCAGAATGTGCTCAAGATGGACAGCAAGGACCTTCCTCAAGTGATTTCCACCTCTTACGGTGAGGATGAACAGGTATGATATCAACTATTTGCCCGTAATTTAGTCAGGGTCTAATATCAACCTCCAGAGTGTTCCCGAGAAGTACGCCCGTACCGTTTGTAACCTGTTCGCCCAGCTCGGCAGCCGTGGTGTGTCTGTCATCTTCTCATCTGGCGACTCCGGTGTTGGTGCCGCATGCCAGACAAATGACGGCCGGAACGCAACCCACTTCCCACCCCAGTTCCCTGCCGCCTGCCCGTGGGTGACATCAGTGGGAGCCACAACTCACACAGCTCCTGAGAAGGCCGTCTACTTCTCCTCCGGCGGCTTCTCCGATCTCTGGGAACGCCCTGAATGGCAAGAGGATGCTGTAACCGAGTACCTCGATAAGCTGGGCGACCGCTGGTCCGGCCTCTTCAACCCTAAGGGCCGCGCCTTCCCTGACGTCACTGCCCAAGGCCAGAATTACGCCATCTACAATAGGGGCGCATTGACTAGCGTTGATGGCACATCCTGCTCGGCACCGGCCTTTGCCGGCGTCATCGCCCTCCTCAACGACGCCCGCCTCAAGGCCAAGAAGCCACCTATGGGCTTCCTCAACCCCTGGCTTTATTCGACCGGCCGTGACGGCCTAAAGGACATTGTTGACGGTGGCAGCACCGGCTGCGATGGCCACGGCCGTTTCGGTGGCCCCGCCAACGGTGGCCCGTCGATTCCAGGTGCCAGCTGGAACGCTACCAAGGGTTGGGACCCCGTCTCTGGTCTTGGATCGCCCAATTTCGGTGCCATGCTCAAGCTTGCGGGCGCTGAATAGATCATGAGTCTTGCATGGAATGTTGTGCACTGCTTGGAGTTTAGATTATAACTGATTCCGACCGGTTGGAAATTTCCGGTATGCATGCGTGCTAGGTAGATACACATAGATCGTTTCCTATATCTGCAAATATAATAATCTTGTGGCTAATTCACATGCCCTTGCGGCTCTCTGTTGTTTACTATTCGCCTAGGCTTGAGGTGCTGCACACAATGATAAATTCGGCTCATTCCGATGAAATACGTACACTATATGCTGACCTGTTGGAATGTAATGTTGATACCGTGCTCCTTATTCCTGGAACACTGGCTCGGACTTCTCGATGTCCTCCTTGCTCAAACACCACTTGTCTTGCAACGCAGTATCAAGACTCAAAGCATAGACATCCTTGGGCCACCATTCACCCCAGCTAGTCAAGAAAATCTGTTCCGGGTCATCAGGGAAATCCTCGGCAGTGACCGCGCGAAGGATGCTATGGGCACCTATTCAATGTTAGATACTATTTCTCAATTAAAAGACCAAATCCAAAGATTCTTACCCTCTGGCACGGTCTTGGCATCGGGCATATCCATCGTCAATCTTAAACCCGAATGTTGGGCAAGCTTAGTGTTGGGGATGAGACCCGGCGAGACAGCCACAACTTTGCAATCTGGGAGGGTACGACGCCAGTAGTGTGCACCCAGAAGCTGGGTGAATTTCGATGCGCTGTACACTACTTTTGCGTTCGCGCCAGAGTTTGCTTTCAGGTCGACATCAAGAGTCCCTAATATTAAGTCAGCATTTGAACTTTCTTTTGGTAACACCTTTGTAAAGATGGAATTAAACTTACCTGGGTCGCTTCCTCTCACATTGCGAATTGCACCCGTAGATACAACAACGATCCGTGATTGCGAGGCAGATAGGACGTCAACAAATTGGTGGGTTAGATAATGCTGGGCTAGATTACAGTTCACGAATGATTAGCTCCGTCTTCGTATACTCTTCTCGTAAGTAGCTGATAGGTCGAATATGAACACATACCGAGATGATTTACCATGTACGATTCACACCATTTCGAGCCATGAGGTCCTGGTCCATCAGCACCGATAGCGAGGCCCGCAATGAGGAAAAGATAGTTCAATGGTCTATGGCCCAATTCAGAGAGTGCTTGCTTGGCGAAGGACTGCACGCTCTTGAGATTCAAAAGATCTAGAGGCAAGATTGAGACGCTGTGCTTTGAAGTATCGAACTTCAGGTCATCATATGCGACACGAGTCTTCTCCGTGTCACGAACTCCCAGAATGAAGCTGTATGGTTGTGCCTGTTGGAGTAACTGCTTGATTGCTTCGAATCCCTACATAGTATTATATTAGCTGGAGGTTGGATATTCTAAAGGAGCGCGATTTACTAGGCCCGACGAGGTGCCTGTCGCAATGACAGTTTTTGCAATTGAAGACATTTTTGGATGCAGCTATATGTGATATTTGATATTCGATGGCCTACAATGTAATGGGTGGAGGGGCAGAATGTCAGCAATGCTACCTAATGACGTCACGTGTTATGATTGAAAGTTGCCCATTGTGCCTATCGAATGAAAATAAGAGAATACCACGTAGTATGTGGGGTAAGAGAACACGATCGCTCATCCGCTAGATGAAAAGAACACCCCCAATATTATGAGAACAGCCGTTGAATCTTCCCCTGACCCAACCATTAAACCATCCGTGTGTTTCCAGCAGTTAAGAAATAACAGCCATCAGGGCAGAGCCGAAAAGAAGTCCAATAAGTCCAAGACCAGACTTTGAGATTGGCTGATTCGCAATAGCGGCGTTTGTGGAAGTCGAGGTAGCAGAGTGTGTGCTAGTGCCTGAGGAAGTGGACTTGGAGTCTGTGGCCGTGGCAGTGGCGGTCGCATTGAGAGCAGCGTTGCAGAAGACGTCGTGATAGTTGCCGCTCTTGCTGGTGAGGCAAGACTGGAGCTTGTTGACATCCTGCCCCTGGGCGAGACAGTAGATTCCACAGTCGTTGTCGTACTTAGAAACCTTCGCGTCCTTGCAGCAGTCATCCATAACCTGGGTTATATTCCCACTGACAACTGCCGCGCAGGCGGCATCTGTTGTAGGGATTTGCCAGACGCTGCCGCCGCAGGCAGTGCTGGTTGCGCTCGAGGAACTGGAAGTAGTCGACATTTTGGATTGTGGTGAAGTTGAGAGGTTGAATTAATCTGAAACAAAAAACATAGAACAGTCCAAGACATAAGACCGCCTTGCCTTGAATGTGACTGGTGTTAGGCTTTTAGCCTTGGCCTCAATTTTCTATTCATAGTAATTAAGCTGGAAACTTTGATTTTTGGTCTATTTGGTCTTTTTTTTTTTGTCTTACAGTATTTTCTACTAGGTGCATGTGATATGTGTTAAGCATGTCCAAATTTGTATACAGACATAGAGCACGGAGTAAGGAGGGAAGAAACGTGGTATAGATATAGTACTCCGTATAAGAACTACCTAGGTAATATGTAATGTGATTATCAAATATGTCGACCTCTTGTCGATCTTCTCCTCGTAGAACTGCTCAGTTTTTCGACTAACAGTTCCTTCATATTCTAAGGCAACTTGCCTTTAATTCTTCGGGCTAGGCAGCACCTCCTCGTGCTTCGACGCGACCTTATTCTCATCCATTCCAGCTTCAGAGTGCTTCTCATAAGCAGGCTCCGCGCCGACAAGGGCAAGAAGTCCAATTTCACGTTCGATTCGTTCTTTGCGTCCAGTATCGGCAGCCGCCAACCCGACCGATCCGAACAATTCGTCCATCTCCTCTAGAGTGCGACCTTTGGTTTCGGGGACAAGGAAGATAACATACACCACAGCGATAGTCGTGATGCATCCGAAGAAGATGAATGCACCAAAGTTGCTTTTTTGGAGGAAAGGAGATGTAGCAGTACCGACTGCGAAGTTGTTCAACTGCAAAGTACCCAGTTAGAAATTTCCAACGATCTTGGCGGTCTATCGCGTGACTTACCCAGTTACTGCTACCACCCATACTGACACCCTTGGCACGCATGCTGAGCGGGAAAACCTCGGAAGTAACAATCCATGCAACAGGTCCTACAGTGGAACGATGGTCAGCAAAGTTTACCCCCCGATAGGAACTTGTACATACCCCATGAGTAGGCGAAATTGATGATGAAAATCCAAACAAAGACAATAGCAACCCATCCGGCAGCCGGGTGCTGTTCAAATTTACCCTGGTACGCGCCAATGATACCCGCGACAATGAAGTGACAGGATGCCATTCCAATTGCGCCAGCAATAAGGATCTTCTTTCGTCCAATTTTGTCGACCCACAGGACAGCAGGGATGGTGAAAACGAACTCGAAAATTCCAACAACACCAGTAGCGAGTAGTGAGATTGTGTTACCGCCTAGGTGCATCTCCTTGAAAATGAATGGTCTATAGAAGTGTTAGCTGGTGGGCTCATAAAGCAACACATGGGAACAGTTCAAATATGTTCCATATCTTCTGCTAGGGCACTCGATCTGAGGGAACTTACGCATAGTAGTTAATTGCGTTGATGCCTAAGTCGTAATATTAGCGATGGACTCGATAGTTATTCGGGGTTGGCATGTCCTACCATTCCATTGTTGGAACACCATAATCATGCACTATGATATCATCAGCAAGATTCATTGGAATATTACACGGGACATAAAACGTACCGCTGTTGCCGTGCGCTTGAACAGAGACTTGTCTGTGATCAATGACAAGTAGTCATGTAGTCCGATATTGAAACGGCTAGAAAACGACCCATCCTGCCAGTTGGGATACTTCTCGGCGGCCGTCTCTCGTTCGAAGAGGTACAAACTCTTGATCTCGAGGAATTCAATTCGAACAAGCATATCATCCGGAGGTGCGCTACGCAATCGGGCCAGTGTTTGTAGGCATTCTTCCTCGCGGCCGGTATTCATAAGGTGACGGGGGGACTGTGGCATGAACATCATCATACCTACAGCCAGAACAACAGCAGGCAGGATTTGAATGCAGACTGGGATCAGCCATGCAGCATCCGATTGTGTCGCGCCAGTTCCGCCAATATAATTTGTTCCGTAGCCAATCTGCAGATGTTAGGACTGGGATATTTCACGAAAGCGAACGCAACATACCCAGAAGCTGATCATGATTCCAAAGGTGATGGCTAGTTGCTGCACAGCGACGAGCGAGCCACGAATCTCCGGTGGTGCCTTCACGTTGTTAGTCATTTCCATTTTTGAACTCGTTGCGATCACTCACCAATTCTGCATTGTACAGCGGCACAACCATGCTCAGACTACCAACACCCAAACCAGTAACGAATCGACCTGCGAAGACGTAGTCACTGCTCTCCGTACAGGCTTGAACAATGACACCAACGCAGAACACCACGACGGCAAGCAAAACAGTCAGACGACGACCGAGGGCATCCGCGAGATAGCCATTTGCCAATGTACCCACCCAAGCACCGAGTTCGAGGATAGACGTGAGCATTCCCTGTTTAATACCCGTTTCTTTCGCGTAATCTTGAGTCTATGTGGAGACGCCGTTAGCATTGCCAAATGGCCCAACAAGAGATGGACATACCGCTGCCTGGAATGCCGGCATTGTAAGAACCTGAGCAAACATTCCCTGGTTGTCTATAGAATATCAGATCCTATACAGAAGTGTATTGACATGGCTCTGTCAACTTACATCCATACACCAGCCCTCCAAGTGATGCGAAAAGCCCGATACATGTTGTCTTCTTGTTACTGAGCAATCCCCTCAAACCATTTTTGCCTGAAAGCTCAGCACGTTTGGCTGAGACAAGCGACTCTCCCGCGAGGGCAGCCACCATTGTGTATCACAATAGGGGGAAGGATAGATGATACAAATGAACCCAACTTCTAGTGGGGACAAAAATAAAAGGGAGAATGGCAAATATTAGGAGAAATGCCAACGCGTTCTTGACGTCTCAACGGGGGATCTGCGAGTATTTATTCGCCCGGGTACGGATAATGAGCTCGAACCCAAGTTTCCCCGGGAACTTAGCCCCATGGGGGTATAAGGGGGACATCAAGTTTGAAACCTGAAAACATGAGGTAATCTGCCCAATCAGCCCATTATAACCAAGCTTCGTGGAGAGCGGGCTCCATCTCTCATCAAGCCGTGTGGGCAGGCTGGGTTGGCCGTGAGACGGGAAAGGCTCGACTAGCGTGGTATTGGCAAGACCGTCAGTGGCTGCAATAAGGTGATATTCGATTTAACCGGTGCTCTTAGCCAAAGACCCTGAAACTGGATAAACTGGCCGGGAAGACCAGAAAGGTTTTTGGCAGTTTTTGGGTCGGCATCTGCCGGAGGAAAGGACTCGGAGCTCCACCGAATGGAGACATTCCGGGGTCCCCGCGCATTTTAAATCTGGAGATTCATCAAAGATCTCATTCAAATCCTCTTTTTTTTCGCTTGAAAAGTTGTATAAAATCCACTACTTTAGATTGCACTATACCAAACACAATATCTCAGCAAAATTCCCGAGGAAAAGACTGTATAATTTGAGGCTAAGTCAACTGTATTCTCCACATCCGAACTCCTGAACCGGTTGAATTGCTTTGATTTAGCCGATTTAGCCCCGTCATAGCTGACATGTGTGCCACTATGGAGTATGCCGTACATTTTATTGTACGACTCGGCTTCGGGTCCCCGGTCATTCACTTTGAACGTCACACCATGGCATTAGCCGGCAATGGTACAAACATATGTACATGTACAGATGTACATTGCGTGTATATGGATAAAAAGGAAGTTTATGTTATATGGCTTTCTCCATGTCTTTCTCCAGTACCCCAGAATTGATCTAAAACTCCATAGGCAATTTCTCGGCTTCCTGCCGGAGATTGATCGGTAGAGTATGCAGAAGCCTAGCCCTTGGCGCAATAAACATCCGAAAACTAGCTATTAAAGGTTGTCTAGATGCTTGGATTCATGGCTTTTTCACAGACTCCACCTCGGTCTCGTGGCTAACATGCGCTTGGCCTCGGCCCGTCCAGAAATCCCGATTCTCTTTGATTCCCCGATGTAAGTTTGTATACGGAGTAGGTCAAGTGGAATAGTATCTTTTTGTTCTTACTATCGTAGTACTCCGTACACAATGCTCACGTTATCCCTTTCAGCCAGACTCTACACAAATAAGCCACTACCACATACTTCAGCCTTATATGTATCGTCCCGAAACATGCGCTGCAACATTTGCCGGCCCCGACAATCCAAATATCGAAACCCGAGCCCAAGCGCCACCGTTCCAATAGAACATATACCCGGCGAAAGCACGACCATGGAGCGAAGCAGCCATAATCGGAATATTACGCTGGTAGTTTTAGTTCGCCACGGCCTAAATTGTCCCGGTAGAAACGCCTCGCAATGCATTATCTGCGTTGAGTATTTAACATTAAAAAAAGTAAAGTATATTCAAACTTACTCTATCCATTAGACTACTGCTAGGGGCTAGAGCCGGAGGAGAGTCGGGGAGGTTCGATGCAGCGGAAGGATATGCCAAGGTGACGGCATTGGCTAGTAGAAAGGCGCCTTGAACGCCAATACAACGCTCAATATACCAGGTGTGCGGGGACCGATCTTTTGCATGTTCATACTCGTTTTCCTTTGCTTTTAGGTGAATTTTCTTAAATCAAGTGATCATGGGTGTTGCAAGTGGGGACATTTTTTACGTTTCTTCTTCCGGTTTCCTCCGAGTGAACTTCAGTTTTGACTCAATATGTCTATGCTAGGCTAGATGGTTTGTCAAAGCCTTTTTTTTTGTTCTTTTTAGACTGGGGATGTTAATTTGAATTAGCGAATTAGCCTATTGTTTAAATCCCTTGTCACATGATCACCCTGTATAGGCTCTTATAGTCCTCTTCATATAGATGTTTCACACTTACAACATTATCAATATTATACTTCATGCTGCATGTTTTTACTATGTGGTATATCCAACACTTGTTAGGGAAACAGACATTAGGTTGATTGTTTGGCTTCGTGGTTATGCAAGTTCAGCCCTTAAATCCTTCTTCTAGAGGTACTTCTTCTACCGGCAAACTTGTCCAACAGCATGTCACTCAAGGTCGTTCCTTCCTTGCTCTGTTGCGCGCACCTATTGAGGCCCACGTGCTTTCATAGATACATGCCAGCCCTATCAAAATGGCGCACAACCCAAGTACCTTAGGCTCCTATAGAGAACAATGTGCCTGTCACGGTGAATATAGTCCTGCGACCTATTTATTGCAATCTTCTGTGTCTTTCCTTCTTCTTCCTCTTTTCTCCCCAAACCATCTCGCATTGGCAACTACAGTGTCCCTGTGCTGTGCCGTGATATGGTGAAGAGGCAAAGCCCGGCGATGATAACGGTGCGAGTGTGAGTCCAGCCAAAGGGAGCATTATCGAGTCTATCAAGGGCGCGACGGCGACGTTCGTGGGGATTATGACGGAAAACAAAATCAGGATCCGTTGAAGCGCGCTCTCGTATGGCCAAGATCGTCTGTTGATGGGGGTTGATTGTAGCCATATTGATACGGTGGTAGAAGACAAAAGAGGAGAAACAAGTAGAGATAGTGCTTATGAAATCTTCGCCAGTAACCTGGCAGTCAGCATGCTCGGTATTATTTACTGGCAGGGCGATGAATTCGGTTCTGGCAAGAGTCCTTTCAGCCTGGAGACCGCCATCAAGGTTGCCACCCTTGCTGGTGCTGTGATCGGACAACCCCTCTTTGGTTGGCTCGCTGACCATATTGGCCGCAGAAGTATGTATGGTTATGGGCTGATGGTTATTATTCTTACTACTCTGGCTCAAGTTGTCTCCTCTTCCTCTAGTGCCATTACTACGAGTGGCTTGCTGATCTTCTGGCGAGTAATCATGGGCGTTGGAACTGGCGGTGACTATCTACTTTCTTCTGTGATAACTTCTGAGTAAGTCCTCTCGTTTACAACCAAATAGGCATGCGCTGACTTAGACAGGTTTGCTACCACCAAGTGGCGTGGCGCCATGATGGGTGCCGTCTTTGCGATTCAAGGCCTCGGCCAATTTGCAGCTGCCATCATTGCCCTGATTGTGACGGTTAGCTTCAAGGAATCCCTAGCAAGTGCTGAGGATGTTGCTCACTGCACTGGTGCTTGCCAGGTTGCTATTGACAAAATTTGGCGTTTTACCATTGGACTAGGTGCTTTCCCCGCCTGCTTTGCACTCTATTTCCGTCTGACAATTCCTGAAACTCCACGGTACAGTTTTGACATCGCTCGCGATATCGTTAAGGCCGATAAGGATGTTCGCACCTACCTGAGGCACCGCACTAGCGACCGCCCATACACTCCTCCCGTTCTGAATGGTATGCCTGACTTTGGCCCCAGGGCCAGCTGGTCTGATTTCTACAGCTACTACTCCCAGTGGAGGCATGGAAAGGTTCTCCTTGGTACCACATTGTCTTGGCTTTTTCTTGATATTGGTAAGTCCACATGATTGTTCAATCACGCACGCGCACGATCTAACATTGCATTAGCGTTTTACGGTCTTGGTCTGAATAACTCGCTTGTCCTTGATGCTACTAACTGGACTACTGCCAAGAATGTTTACGAAATGCTGTACCGCAGTGCTGTCGGAAACCTTATCTTGATCTGTGCTGGTGGCATTCCTGGATGCTTGGCGACCATTGCCACTATTGACAAACTCGGACGGAAGCGTATTCAACTCCTGGGATTCCTCACGTTATCTGTCCTTTTTGCTGTGATTGGCATTGCTGACTTGAGCAACAATGACAGTGGTCTTTTCGCCCTTTACGTTTTGATCCAATTTTGCTTCAACTTTTGGACCCAACACAACCACCTTCGTCATCCCCGCCGAGTGCTTCCCCACTCGCTACCGCGCTACCACCCATGGAATCTGCGCGGCCGTTGGTAAGATTGGCGCCATTATCGCGCAGTGTGTCTTTGTACCTCTGGTTTACCGGGGTGCAAAGACACCTGGCGACTCGCCCTGGCTAGATCTTGTTATGCAGGTCTTCTCCGGCTTTATGTTTTGCGGTTTCGCAACTTCCTGCTTGGTCCCCGAGACCAAGCGGCAAAGCCTGGAGGGGCTCTGCAGAGAGATGGGCCCATCTCTGCGAGCCCAGTCTGCAGACGTGGGGGACGAAGTCCCCCTTGGGCCCATTGTTTCCGGCGCCTCGCGTCGTTGAGAGGTCTTTCATGGCTCTCAGCTAGCTTTGCTAGCTGACATAGCTCTCAGATCTCTTTCAAATAAAGATTGATTTACTCTCACTTCTAATTCTCCCTTTAGACGTAGCCCTCTCAGTAGGCCCTTTGATCGAGTATGATATCTAGCTTGCCCTATTCATTGGTAGCCTCTATTTCCACCTAATAATTGGATTACTCACCTTCTAGCGCCATGCTGTCACCTTCATCTCAACAGTTATATGTCAGTCAATTCAATATCAGCATCTTGCCTAATGATGCCTCTGGCGTCTACTAATGTTCCAGGGACCATTGCGGTTCATGCTGATCATGCAGACTTAGAAATTTCATAAATTGATCCTTTGATCCTATCTAAGCGTGATAGGCCTACAACTCCCCAATATTGGAGTATGAAGTGGCGTACAGGCTACGCGGAATTCAGAGAGGCGTACGACCACTCCCACGTTTTGACGTTAGCTCAATACTGTCTATCTGAGTTACACCTAATGAGTTCCTGCAAGTCATCTTTATGTGGGAGTGCCAGTGGTCTGGATCTCCGACAGAGATAAGAGATTTGTCCAAGGCTTCTGGCGAGGACTCTTTACCGCACTACGAACGAAATTTATGTATTCTTCAGCGTATCACCCCTCTGCGGATGGTCAATCGGAGCGATCTAACCAAACCGCGGAGATCTGGCTGCGCCATTGGCAAAACCTGCACCAAGACACGGACTGGGATGAAGGACTTGCTCCCATGCAAGCATCCCTCAACGCCTCGGTAAACGCGTCCACTGGTGAGTCCCCCCCATAAGCTCATGTACGGCGTTGAGTTGCGTATGCCGTGGATCTCCTGCGACACGCATTCGTCGGGTCCCCCCAGGCCGAGCGCCAGGATGCGGACGAATGCGCCAAATATGCCGCAATGATCATGAAGCACCAGTACGACAATCGACACAAACCAATTTTCTTCAACACTGGAGACTACGTCTATCTACGTCTTGCGCAAGGAGCGGAACCTGGCTATGTCGAGTCCAAGTCGATCCCGCCTGGCTCAACGACAAACGGCATCAATTGGTCAGTGCCATACACGACTGGAACATTGCGATCAAGTCCTCGTAAATCCCATTATCAAAATGCAGCTCGGACGAGTCCAAGCAGGTAGTTGCTCTCAGTATTATATTATATGAGAGAATAGTACCGAGTATAAAATGCCATATATATAACAATTGGACTTTCCAGTATTTACTGCAGAATTTTATATTTTACAGTAGCGTTGATCACGTCCACCACCTCAATGTTGTTTGCTTCCATGTGAAACGTCGTCACTGCAAACACGTCCATCCCACCTTGACGGTCCTCGCAAACCTTTCAAGCTCTACTCATTGATTATTCCTACCTATCAGAGACAAATCACCATGGCACGCATGGTCACATCCCCATGTCGAGGAGACTCCTTTACGGCCATAAAGCCACAGGACGCCACTAGCCAGAAAACGACCCCTCACACGAGCCCAAGCAACAGCCAGGGCAAACACAAACCCATCACGTCTCCGGGACAATCGACCGATGTAGCAACCGAAGACTTCGAGATTATCTCCGCACTGAAGCTCATCGCAGTCTCAGTGGACCAGCAGCGCCACATCGCAGCCATATCCCTCATCCTCCACCCGACAACAATGACATTAGTAGCCGTGAGTTTCGCTTACAGCGTCGGTGCCGTGTACCATGACCCATCCGGCTGGCCATATATCGCTATAATATGTGCCACTGCTATATTGGCTACTCTGGGCGTTGCTATACGCTTGTCTTGGAGATACCACGACAAGGCCGAGAAAGTCGGAACGCTGAACTGGCTGTACGGTCACGACCCTAGCAAGAATGTCGACCCAACTACAACAGAGGAAGATCCCGCCTTCAACTCGGATAATGGGGTTACATTTGTGCTTATCCATCGATTTGGTAGGCGTATTGTCGGGGCACTTGCTATGAGCGTCACATACAGCGGCATCCAACCCCATTCAGAACCCAGTAGTACGACCCTTCCAACGGGTGAAAATTACAATGCCTTCATACGTGCCTGGACAGTGCAAAAGGGCTTCCGTGGCTACGGTGTTGGTGCTGCGCTCCTCAACGAAGCTATCATGATCTGCTACGAGCATAAGTGGAAGCGATTGCGGTTCGCAACTTGCCATGCCAACTCGCTTCGCGTCTTTTTACCCATCTTCCATAGCGACATGGATCAGGAATCCGCAATGTGGAGCTCGTATCTGCGCAAGCGGACTGAGGCTCATCGTCAATCCCGTGCTGCTTTTGAGGCTCGAATACTCCATGCCTCTCTGGATTTGAGTGATAGTCAGGGCGCAATGATTGATACTCAGATGCGTTTGATTTGTACTGAGGTAAAGGTAGAGGAGCTGATCCGAACATACTTCAACGTGCGTCTTGAAAAGGCATTTGAGGCTCAGGCTCGGTGGAAGAAAATGTCGTAGTCGGCTACATTTTGAGATTGGCTTTCTGTTTTTGGGTGTGGTGTTGGTGGAGTTCAGGCATATCGATGTTATGATTCATCTTTTGTTATCTCTATCATCTACATGAGTTGTCTTTGTCTCGAATATTCTAGTAGATATTCTTAGGAGTACCTCCCCCTTTCTTCGAATACAATGCCACCGGAAATTTCAGACCAGCATTGGATTGGCATTTGTGTATGTATTCCCAAATTGAAGCCCTATGATCACGCGTTGTTACTGTACAGTTCAACGAATGGGTATATAAGTATTGCTATGTTCTGTTCTCTAGCCATGGATCTTTAAGAAGCTGCTTAGCCGTCTTTCTGTCTTCCGGTTGCCATTGAAGCATCCCTCTTATGAACTTTAGGAACAACTCTTTGTTCCTACCACTCAGACGGTTCTCGGAGTTTCTTAATGATATTCCCCAGGGAATATCGACTTGGCGTCTCCAGTGTCCTGTCAAACATCAGAATAATACAATTTGGATTGAATTTCAGCCATCAAGCATAACATACCGTCTTTAGTAAAGAATTCAAGACTTCGCTCTCCACGCTTCAGCAAATCCAAAGGAGGAGGGCCCAGAACTCCAATCAATTCAGCAAGGTGGGCACGGGTTGAATAACCTTTGCCATCGGGGTCCAGCCCAATGAACATGTGTTTGCCTTCAAATAAATCCCATATCTAGTATTGTCGTAGACTTAGTGACGTAAGAACAGGTATGTTATCAGAAGGGGAAACGCACCATAGTGCCAACATTCCAAATATCAATGGGGTAGCTCCACTCAGTTTTTAACATGACTTCTGGTGACCTGTAGATGGTGGGCTGAGCATCATGGTTTCTCTTTTGATCACCCCGTACAGCTGAGCCAAAGTCGCTAAGAACTGCCCTACCAAAATCTTGAGGTAACTCAAACCTCCGAGAGGCATAGACTGGCATATTGTTCACTGACTTCCCCGCCGAAGGATGTTCTATTTCGTTTTCGGTAAACCTGTCAAGTATTCTCTTCCAGTTCATGGAGAATATTATCTCCCTTGATGTCTAAATTCCTTTGTTAGTAGCCTAGCCTGCTTGATGGCAATAAATATTCCGTTTGACAACAATAAATAATATACACTCACCGGTATGAACGAGCTGGCATTCGCTGTGGAGGTAGTCAAGCGCAAGGAAAATCTGCTTAAGTCCGCTTTTAAAAAGATCCTCGCTAAGCTGCTGTCCCGGAGAGCGATAGATAAAATGGCGAAAGCTCCCCCACATAGGTTTTTGGACAACACAGTGATGTTCGTTCCCTTGATGCCATATCGTGAATGCGTCTAATGCAGTTCTCACATGGGAATAGCCCGGGTGTAATGTATTTCCTTGACTCAGGGCTTTATAAATCTGAACCTCCCGCTGGGCAGTTCCATCCATTGTATACACCTTCAATGTGACGTATTGACAACCCCTGGTTGAATCAGTAAATTTGTTATTCAATGAGGCTCAATGGGACTTGGCTTACTCAAGATCGCGAGCGAGCCATACTGTGGAAGTGGTCCCAAAGCCCAGCTTCCCGAGGACTTGATATTTGGACCCTAAAACTTCTCCAATATTGGCAGGATAGTAGTGCCCTTTCTTGAACTCTTCGAAGCGCTCTTCTTCGAGAATTTGCGACTGCTTGATTATTTCGAATCCACTCGTTGGAAACCGAAGCACCGGTGATGAGCCTCTTTTCATAGCTGTCCTGGCCCACTTGAGAAGCGAGGTCATGGTCATCGATAGTCTAAGGAAATATACAGATATTGAGGGCAGGCGGACCGTTATTCCGAGGTTCTCAATGGATACCGTTTTCTTTTGAATCCAGATTATTGATAAATGTACGAGGAATGGAGGGTAGACTAGAGCCATAAATCTCTGGCTGTCTTTAGGAAAAAGACGATAGATATATCAACGGCGAAGGGAAGCAACAGTCAGGTAACTATTCCTCCAAATAGAGTAATAGAAGGTTGGTTGTCAAGATTATGTTCTTCACGTCCTTTCTGGTATGAAGTTAATTTGATTTCCTTTTTTCAATCTTGGCTTGCTCTCCTTTAGGGAATATACAGCCCGACCCAAAGTGGACAAAGTGATATCACCACTACCTAATATGTGTATATGGGATTGATGAAGTGATACCGGAAGCGAGATATGTTAGAGACAAAGAAATTGTAGAAATTTTAGATCAACAGCAATCTTGTCTTCTACGGAGCTGTATAGACGGACTCGTGGCAGTCAATGATCTCTATCTTTGCGGAACTAGGACGCTTTCACCTGAACACATGTGATAAAACCATTTATGCATAGTAATTAGCCCACCTACTATATCATCTGGAAAGCGATTGAAGTAGCAAATACCTAGTCACCCAATGGGTATCCCAGCTCATTAATTTCCTATTTTATGCTTACTTTATATCCCTCGTTTTGCCCTCCAGCGCATAACGAAGGCTGCAAAAGGGTAAAAGGCCAAAGATACTGCAACCCAGATAAAAAGAATAGCAAAGTCCAATCCAATGCGTGAATGGGTATCGAAGAGGATGGTTCTCATGGCTTCGACAACTAGAACAGAAAGTTAGATCAACAACAGAGCTTGACCACGACGAAGGAAAAACTTACTCCGATGTAACGGCCATGCGTACCCCCATCTATAGAATCCCGGAGCTAAATCAATAGCATAGAATGCTGTCGCAACATTCGTGATAACCCAAAAGATCAGGAAGCAAGCACTCCATGGGAACCCAAGAATCATAGCCATGTTCTCACAAGGGAATCCCAAAGCAGCCATCCCAACCCAGTTCAACATCCAAAACACGACAAATGAGGCACGACCATAGGCATTGGGGTTTCTTGCGGACATGACTTCCGATGCAGAGCCATTGTCAAACGTGATCTGAAAAGCCAGAGACACAAGTGAGTAGCACAGCGAAAGGAAGAAGTAAGCCACGATACTTGAGAGAACTCTCCAAATGAGCCAATGTGGCATCTTCAGTGGCGGATGGCCATCTGCCTTCAGAAACATGGTATGGGCAGGCATAAGAAACGGGAAATTGAAAAACGCAATGATGATCAGATAGATCAGACCAATTGTCACGGCAGGTGCAGCAACAGCCGGGGCAAAAGGACGTAGATCAACAGTAGTGAACCCAATGGCCGGGTTAATTGCCTGCGGGGGTGCGGATGACAGGTTGACGGATGAGGCCAGAGACCGGATCCATTTCGGGCCAAACTCTGCTAGCACCTTATGCTGTAGGATGGCTAAGTCAGGCAGGATATAGCTGTAGTAGGTAGGTTGATCGCGTGCGGAGATGATGACGATCTCGATGGCACCGGTGGGATCGTAGGTTGTATTGTCATTGGAGACAGCATCCCGGAGCAGCACTGTTGCGTTTGGCTTGATTATTACAGCAGCATAGGCATGTTGGTCGTAAATGCCTTGGCGCACGGCCCAAGGGTCATAGTTGAAGTCGGCGGGTGACTTGATAGTGTAGCCGAGATGGAGGCCGTCAGACCGCAGGATCCTGTTGGTGACATCGGTAACTACCGGGCCAACTATAGTGTTGTCGGAGTGGTATGGATCAACTTGGCCGTCAAAATCGACAATCCATACCTTCAACGCTGGGTAATTGGCCTCAGTGTGGTATTGGGATCCCCAGAAGAGAGATAGCACACCGAATATGAAGGCACACAAAATGAACACTAATGACTTCAATCAGTTTCGCTTGCGCGCCGCGAATCCTCAAATTTTGGACGTTTTCTTACAAGTGCGAGCCCATTGGTAGAACACTCGTCGTCGAACCTCCTTGAGAGATTGATCAAAGAAGGATGCAGCCACCGGCGGGCTGGCATCGTCCAATAACTCGACTTTTGCTGTCATAATTGAACAGCTTGGGAATACCTGGCTATGAAAAACCGGGATTAGGCCATATAAATGGTTTAAAAACTACACGCGAAAGGATGCATATCCGGTTGCGGTATTGTAGTTTTCCCCGGCGTTCATCCCTTGTTGGAAATTCCATACCTCAACTCCGGGCGAGACAGACAAAGATCTGATAACTCTCAAGCAAATGAGAGCCTATTGAGAAGTCCAGAGTTGTCTGTCAAGAGGATAACATTTATCACCGCACTATAAATACGAGAAGAATACCTAGGTAGTACCGGGATATGTCATATCCGTAAACGTGGTATAAGATCCTGGATGTCAACCACCGTTGGACATGTCACGTTGTGCAATGTACTATATAAGGAATTTCCCTAATCAAGTATTTCCTCAATGGTTGAATTATTTAATTACTCCGGCTGGTTGGTCGAAAAAAAAATAATCCCTGGTGTATCAGGTTACCCGCGATTGCGCGTCCCCGTTTCATCCAGCTGATCCCAGTCAACTTGTGATGAATTTTCGCTGGCTGTGAAATGAGATACTGCATAGATTTTTTGACAGCTCAAATTCCATATGGCATAGGTCATCAACCAAACCTGCCCAGTACTAACGATAAGTAGCAGAAAAAAATAGCGATGGTTGCAAAAATTGACGATCGTAAACTCATTTCATTTAATCTAAGGGTATCATTAAAAAGTCTATACATATCCATGTCCACCAATGGACCCAAACGACGATCTCTCAGCGGGCCTTCAAATAAATTGCGCATCGGATCTAGGAGCCCGCCCCGAGACCCTTGACTGTTTCAAAACAGTGAAATTCGAAAAGAAGGTTGAAAATGTTTAGGCGCATGTAACCTGGTATGAACCGTAGCGGCGCCTTGCTCCAGATATGCGGCAAGTTTGAGTGGTATTGGCTTGGCTAGCGAAGTCGGAGAATTCGTTCTGCTCGCACATGGTGTTATCGAACAATTCGATGCGGCAGCCTTCGGCGACGGAGTTCAGGGTATAGGCGGAGGCAACGCTGGGGAGATCGGCGCGACAACCTGTGCTGCCAGATCCGACGTGAGGGTCGCCAACAGTTCCGTTGCATGAGGTTGACGGGAACAGAGTGAAGGACCATTGGATGTCACGGCCGATAAGAGGGAATGCGGAGGAGACGTTGAAGAATAGAGTCGCTGCCAGGAGGCAGAAGCGAGTAGTAGAGACCATGGTGCCTTGAGAATGTAGGTTGATGGAAAAAGCTCACAGAAGAGAGGAGGGCTGGTTCTTAAAGGGTCTAGAAAGTAGAACAGGGGAAGAGTCCACAATTTATTTACAAATGGACCCACCTTTAAGATTAGGAAATTCCTCAAGATATTTTCTATGCCAAGAATTACGCATTTTGTCCAAGTTCACGGATTCTGCATACGGAATAAAAAAATCTTTCAGAAATTTGTCCGTCTCCGTACAAAGGCTACAAAGACAATGCAATGTGTCCCCGACAACGGGTTTCCATTCCTGATGAGATCATCCCGAGTGGATGATCATTTAGTCCTATTCAGGTAAGTGGGGTGGCTGGGATACCCATCTTACGCAGACGCATACGTACTCTCCTTGATCATGTTCGTCTGTTATGTTCTATTTTGGTCCTTGATATAAATATGGTGGCTGAATATCCAACTGACACAGGGTGGCAAAAGTGTCAATGAGGATGTCTAGGGAGGGTAAAAGACCCTGTTTTTTTTTCTCCCATCGGCAAAAATGTCCATGCTTCATTGCTTTAATCTCAACAACTTATTATGAACACAAGTAAATTTATTCTTGTTTCAATATTCACTCCAGTTTTTACACAAGCAGACACTCACCTAGGGAGTATGTATCTGTTTATCTATGGGTGGCCTAAAATATCTTCTTATTTTAACAGGTTATCTTGTTTCTCGTTGCAAAACCCCCCATATCTCGCATATATGAAGAAGGGAATATAACAGAATTTTGCCAGTCAATTATAAAACAAGAGATAACAACTTTGATATTGATTTTTGTCCTAGCGTGGGCAATTTGAGACCTTGACCCAATAGGAAGTGGGCAATCGGTCCCACCTTTCACGTGTCGCAGATATATCCTTATCAGATGTGCAGTTCTCAATCTCTCTTCCCTTCTAATGACAACCCCCATTAGTAATGGATAATCGAGTCGTAGAGAATATTCTCGGTACTCTAGGTGCAGTGGGTTACATTTCCCCGATCGGAACAACATACGGAGTAGACTAAACTAATTATTCTTTGTAGGTTTGCTGGTCTATCCAAGTATGTGGTTGCTATGTGCCAAATAGCTTTGAGCCTGCACTAATGCCTTTGTACAGCTCCTACCTCAGATAATCATTAATTATAGGAGACATGACACTGAAGGGTTACAAGCGTCAATGATGCTCTTATGGGCTGTTGCGGGGGTTCCCCTTGGGGTGTATAATATTGTGGAAGAATTCAACATTGCCCTAAGAATTCAGCCTCAAATTCTGACAATACTCAGCCTCCTTACTTGGGCACAGTGTCTTTACTATGGAAAGGTCAATATTTCTCCTTTTATCCAACGTGATCCTAGTAATACTCACCTAGACTCAGAAATACCGTATCATGAAATGCTGTGTCGCAATCACTTCGCTTCTATTGATGTTAGGTGGCATTGAAGCCGGACTCATATTTGCCTTGCAAGCTGCGAAGAGGCGTGGACTGGAGTGGCCTCTTATCCTGATGGCTGTTTTAAGTGCATGTTTACTTGCAGCAGGCGTACTGAGACATTACTGGGATATTTATGTCCACCGGACTGTTCGGGGAATCAGCTTCATATTTGTGGGAATTGATGCTGCTGGAGACTTGTTTTCGCTCGTCTCTGTTCGTAAGTCAACTTCCTCGTCAGGCAGAGACGGTCAAAGGCTAACATGCAAGCAGTGTTTGGGTCGACTATTAATATCCTTGGGATAATTATTTATGGAACTGAATTGACACTGTGGGTGGGCATATTTATATGCGGCGGTGTGTTCAACCTCCAGCCCTGGATTAAGGAGCGCTTCCAGCAGCGGGATGGCAATCTCCAAGACCCAGTAGCTATGCACCCGATGCCATCGTCGACTTCTGTGTTCAGGACCGTGTCCGGATCTCGAGTAATGGAAAGGAGGCCATGGCATAGGTCATAGGGATTCAACATCTGTATAACTAATCCAACGTCAAACTATCTAGGTAGTATTTATTTGTACATCAAACGGTCGTCGTTTCCCTTCTCGTTGCTATTGTGGTGGTCACCTTCGCTTGATATAACCCCAAGTTCGACGTCTACAAACTGGTATAGTTATGTAGCACTCGAACTAGATGAGGCTGAGTTATACAAGTGGAGCTGAAAATTATGGAGCCTGTGAGGAACGGCTATCAGTTTCAGATTCAACTTTATCTCACAAGGCTGAAAAGAGTTCCGCATCCCGGACCCGCTTGCTTTCTTAGACATATATCATCTTCAATGCTCTTCATCTGCGTTTTGTTGGGGTTCCACAAGAGGCTGTTCAAAAAATCTGGATAAATATCTACTTGGGATTATTGTTATGTCAAGAATTCTCGGAATCACATTTCAGTCTGTTACAGTATTTCCCCTAATCCCCTATATCTGTGCGCTACATTCTAGATGGCTAGATGGCAGTGCGCTTGCCTACAATTTCGCCTTGCTCGCTTTTGGACGTCTCCCGGTATCAACATCAGACCACCAAGGGAAGCTAGGTGGTGCATCCTTCTCAAGAGTTGCACTGAAATTCGGCTTTCGTTTCTCGAAGAATGCTTTGATGCCTTCCTTTGAATCCCTATAACATGGTCAGCATTGTTCCTTGATATAGAAAATTTCTAATAAGGCTTCAGAAAACGAGGTGGAAAAGCATACCTTCCACTAAACATATGGTACAACACTGCCGAATCAACTAGATGAGTCTCCTCAGCACTCCCTGGGTTCCGCCACATGAGTTCTCGCGAAAGATATGACGCCATGGGGCTAACATTCTCTGCAATTTCCGTAGCAAGCTCCAGCGCACGCGCGACTACCTGGCTTGAATCAGGGTATGTCTCCTGGAACAACGTCCCAAATTGTGGTGATGTAGGCGGGAATATGCCGCCAGTTGTGAGTAAGTAAAGAGCATTTGAGTAACCAATCAACCGCGGGAGAAAGAACGAAGAGCTTGATTCCATTATCAGACCCCGTCGCGGGAATACAAATCCATACTTGGATTTCTGACAGCCGATGCGTATGGCAGCCGGCAGACACATTGTCATACCCAAACCGACAGCGGACCCCTGCATGGCGGCTATAGTAGGCTTGCGGCAGCGGTGGATGGCTAAGGCGAGACGGCCGCCACTGTTGATATCGGTATTAGCGGAAAGAATACGTGAGCTAGTGCTGAAACTTCGTCGTCTTACCTATCGCGGTGGTCCTTGTTTCTTTCCTTCTCAATTCCACTAAAGCCTCGCTCAAGATCCGCACCAGCACAGAACATTTTGCCAGCACCGGTAAGCACCACAACTTTGACTCGTTCGTCAACATCAAACATAGGGTATATCTTCTCAAACACATGCATCATCTCTAAAGTGAATGAATTGTTCTTTTCTGGTCGGTCCAGCGTCACCACAATAACAGAGGTAGCTTCAGGAGCCCCAGCCGGGTGGTGGGAAACTTTGACATCGGTCAATGGAAGAGTCTCGTAAGACTTGGGAATGTCGATGGTATCTGGGTCGAAAATCATGATGGCTGAGAGATGGATTAGATTGGATTGTAGTTCTGTAGTTTACCTCTTCATCTCTTCATCTGCAGAGATATTCTGATATCTTATATATCAATCCACACCTCGGCTTTCAAGCAGACTCGATCACTAATCATCAAGCAAAGAGAAATTGCGCCGCGGTTGGCATGTTCATTGCGTGGAGTCGGGATTACATTATCTCGGAACATATCGAAAATTAGGAGTCACATGTGCCCTAGAGGGTTAAAGCTTTGATCACTGGACTCACTCTCGATCTATACACAGGCTGAGGTGGTATCAGCGCAAGCGGCGATTTTCATAACAACTCCGTAGCCTTTATGTGAAATTTCTTTATCACGGAAGAATGGTCCAGCCATCCAACCATCCAAGAGCCGGTTTAGTCTCGAATCGATCTTCGAGTTCGCGTCTTTCTCCAGAATCGCCCTGTTTCCAAGCCAGAATTGGGAATGGTCCGATGTGGATGCATGAGGGAAGTCAATGATATAATGGCCGCTCAAAATGGACTCTGCCTAAATACATATCTCGCATCCAATTTATCGCATCATGTGTCTAGCAAAAGCCACAGCCATATACTTTGTTGCATGATCCGGCGGGAAAATAGCTGATAGGCAGGTAGTCCAGCCAGGCATATCGTTACAAAGGTAAACACTCTAACTGTTTCACACCATTAAGGATGCCAGCCTGCAATCTCCCAATCCAATATGGTAGTGACGTGACCATGGTCATCAACCAGGATGTTCCTCAGTGCCATATCACTGTGCGTGAAGACCATATTACCCTCCGGCCGCTTCGTGGCCACATAATTTCACACAAGATCCGGGGCTGAGGTTGTCAATCTCGAAAGTAGGTACTCATCCAGGTAAATTGAGCGTCGTGTATATATAGTATGACTGAAAGATCAGACCCCGTAGTTGGCGTATATATCCATGCAGTTCCAGCGCAACGGATGTCTTTTGCGATGGAATTATGCTAGCCCAGGTATCTTGCAGCGTCCGGCCTTCGATAGAGTCCATTAAGATGGACTTCATGCCACCGTCACGGGTTTGGGTCTCGCGAACGTGAGGAATCGGGATGGTCGTGTTTTTGGCCACATAGCGCATATTCTCGGCTTCAAGCTCTATATCTTGGGAGAATCCATATTTAAGCAGTTTGTCTTTGGGAACTCGTATGATCTTCCGGAAACTGGGTCTTTGTCGCTCTAAATGCACTAACTAGTTAACATGACGGAAATATCCGATATCACTTCTGTAAATACTTACCCTGACCAAAAACATCTAACACGTCCACCAAGACCACCTGGTTGAGACCCCTCGATAGGAACGCGAGCCTAAAACAGATTATCAAGCAAGACACCCGTTATTTATCCGTGACCAATCACGTAGGTGTGAGTGGGCAGATATGCAGTTGGCTGGATGCAGTAGTGACATGGAGTTGGACA